TTTTTTGAGACAGAGTCTCACTCTGTTGCCCAGGCTGGAGTGCAGTGGCGTCATCTTGGCTCACTGCAACTTCTGCCTCCCAGGTTCAACTGGTTCTCCTGCCTCAGCCCCCCAAGTAACTGGAATTACAGGTGCCTGCCACCATGCCCGGCTAACTTTTGTATTTTTAGTAGAGACAGGTTTTCACCATGTTGGCCAGGATGGGCTTGATCTCCTGACCTCGGGTAATCCGCTTGCCTCGACCTCCCAAAGTGCTGGGATTACAGGCGTGAGCGACAGTGCCCGACCTCACGCTGAAATATTTTTGATATATTGAGTTAAGTGAAACATTTAACCTTTTTAAAAAAAGGTTTGAATGTTTTTACTAGATTTACTAGAATCTAAAAACTAGATTTACTAGAACTAAAAACATTTACTAGAATGTTTTTAATGATAAATGTAGATCACATTCTATTTCTATATTTCTGCACTAGGAAGAGGGTTTGAGGTAAATCTAGAGTTTTATTTTCTGACCCTACTGCAGGCACCGGAGGTCGAGGACACCATTGTCAGTGGAAATGGGGATGTGTATGGGGAAAGGCCCTGATCCTCAGAGACCATGCTCATAGAGTGAGCCCTGGGCAGGAGGTCAGCCAGGGAGCATCTCATAGGGCCCAGGCGGCATGAGGGTCACACAGACACAGGTGCCCACAGCCCCAGTGGGCATTGGGGACAGGCATTAAGCTTGGCACAGTATGATTCTTGGAGGGAACACATATGGATGGCCTGAGGACCCAGGTTCTAGCACAGTTATGCCACTGTCTGTGTGACTAAGTCACCTGGCACAGCATAAGCAGTTAATGTCCTGATCTACTTACCGAAGGGCTCACTGCAGTGAGTGAGGCTCGCGAGGGGAAGCCCTCTTCAGCCCTGCCCATGGTGGTCCCCTCTGGAGGAGGGCATGTTTCTGGAATCCTGATTTGTTACCAGCACATAATTTTCAAATTGGCAGAAATGCATCGTTTAGACGGGCACAGTGGCTCATTAGAACATTCTTACTTTTGTGTTAACTCTGAAATCCAGGGAGTATTTCACAAAGCACATCTCAATTTGGACGCTACGTTTTCAACATTTAAAGTGACACGTAGTCCTACAAAACAAAGTTGTTTTTCAGAACAATTTACACTCGTTTTAAAATTTGATCCCAGTACTTTGGGAGGCCAAGGTGGGCAGATCGCTTGAGCCTAGAAGTGCAAGACCAGCCATGGGCAACATGGCACAACCCCATCTGTATAAAAAATACAAACATTAGCTGGACGTGGTGGCATGTGACTGTAGTCCCAGCTACTCAGGAGGCTGAAGTGGGAGGATCAGTTGAGGCTGCAGTGAACCATGATTATGCCACTGCACTACAGCCTGGAGAAGAGTGGGATCGTGTTTCCAAAAAAAAAAAAAAGAAAGAAAAAGAAAAAAATGCATCTTTAAAAGCCTTGTCCTGTGCGTGTGAACACACACGAGTGGAGTGCAGCAGGTCCTGAAGGGCTGCTTACAGAACTGAGGAAAGCGGAGGCGAGGCTGCCCACAAAGAGGCTGAAGCTTCTCCAAGGAGCCTCTTGCTGCGCGCTGGCCAGCCTTGGCGGCCAGGACCCCAGGAGAGGAAGCTGAGGGAGGCCTGAATGCCAGCTGCACCTGGCGTCCGGCACCCCATTCTAGGTTCACTGTCAACTACAGGCACAGCCAGAAGGGTGTAGTTTTCTCTTAGGGAGTCCAAGTCCATTGTTGCCACCTCTGACCCCTTGACACCAGGTCCTGGGAGCCAAGTCTTGAGCCCCAAAGAGCTCTGAGGAGCTCAGGTCTACAGAAGTGCCCTTTTTCCGAAAATAAACACCCTTCACTACGTAGGTACACATACACACGCACAGGCACACGCGCGCCACACACACACAGAGGGAAATGCTCCTATCTTTTATCTTCTAACATTAAATCCCTGGTCAGGATAACTCTTCAGTTCCAAGAAGTTGGGGGCACACACAGAGTACACCCTGAGGCCCAAGGCAGCAGGCTTGGGCCCAAGTTGCACTGTCCGGGGCTCAGCGGGGGGTGAGTCCCTGAGATGCCACTTACAAATAGGGCTGCTTCAGCCTGCCAGGAGGCTACAAGGCCTCTGCAACTCCAGGGATTGTGGGAGTCAAAAAAATCCTTTGTCTTGGTTCTGGGTGGGGAGCGGGACACCCCCAGATCCAGTGTCACAGGCACTCATTCCCAGGGGGACAGAGCAGCCTTCAGAGCCAGCAAGAAAGTTTTGAGGCTCAGAGCCCACCAGCTTTCTTTTCCAGGACAATGTGCCTCAGAAACCCCGGTCCCCTTCCCAGGAAAGGAACAATTGACTCAGGCAGGTAGTGACAAGCCACCTGCCACTTGGGAAGCAGCTAGACTGAGGCCGAGGGTGAGTGGTGCTGGGTGAGATTCCCAGGGTTGGCGGAGGGGGGCGGTTGGGAGACCCAAGTGCCAGCGACTGCACTGAGACTTCTCCTTGGTGGGGGGGGGGCGGGTTAAAAGCAGCTGCCTTATATGAGATCAATGGAATGACTGTTCACATGGCCTATGTACCTCTTAAGTCCCGTTTAGGATGGAAACTGCTCTACACCCCCAAAGCTCTTTGGCCTAAAAACTCTAAACCTGTGTTCAAACTTTGGTGTTTCGTGGTTAATATCTAGCATCCTCTCTGTTACTCTATCTTGTGACGGGGCACTGTTTTGCGGCCTGGGTGGAGTTGAGTCACAGGGTGGCAGAGTCAGAACCTATTAGTCTAGGGATGTTGCTTTACAGCTCAGTACCCAAGGTCCATGAAAGCCCAGTAAGGGGCCTGAAGTTGCACAGCTGGCTAATGGAAGGGCTGGGACTTGAACTCATGGCTCTGTGGTTCAGTCCTTTGGCTAAAGGGTCCGTGAGTGCCACCCACAAAGAGGGTCTTAAACGTTTTGCTTCTGGGCTCTGGAGGCATCCAGGGTAGCTAGGGGGTTCCCTGCCAGTGGGGAGGGAGCAGGCACTGGTACACCATTCCTCAGCAGTCCCACCTCATTCAATCTGGCAGGTAGGTATGAAGCCGGGCCAACTGAGGAGAATGCATCAGGATGTAGGGAAGGAGAAAAAGGAGTTTAGGGGAAC